TTCTTGCTGCTGTTAACATATATAACATCAAAGTTCCAATTTTTGACAATTTGTGTGGTGTTAGATACCAACAGTACATCATCTTATAAATGTTTTCTTTTAAATTATAATTTAATGTGAATTTTAGATCTTTGGTCCACATACTCTCCTCTCGTTCAAGCATTATATTATATCCAAAGTTCTTTAGCCACTGAACCATATAATGCATTACATACTTTCTCCAAGTTCAATTTCAATAACAATTTATAAACCTTAGTATTAATATGTTCATCTCCATCACACAGTAGGATTTCCAATAATTTTTCACAAAATGAAATCCATAGCGCTTTTTGTCTAGTTTAAATCTTTCTTTCGATTGTAAAAATGTAAACCAATGGAAAACACATCTTCTGATTCCATCTCATCTTTAGAGTTGAGAATAGGATCTCCATAATTAAAAGATATTATTTGACCAAAAATCCACCAATCTGGTCTCACCACCATTTCTTTTCTAAAAAAAAAAAAAAAAAAGCTTCCAGGGGAGACATATATGTCAGAATTGTCTCCTTTCTATGGTTGAGAAAAAAGTGACTGTTCCAAGGTCACCCAGATGGTTTCATGCATAAAGCTGGAGTAGAACACAGTTTCCCAGTTTCTAACCGGATGCCTTAACCACTACACAAAACTGGCTTTGAAAACTGATACTGTTATTTTCAGTACTCCAAATTTGTCTGGACCCTGAATTTATTTATTTTTTAAAGTGTTCTAACTTTCTGTAAAAAGTTGACATCTTATAGATTTGCTTGTAGATAATGTTATGAAAAGAAGATATATCTGTTTGCAACCCTCACAGAAAATGAAGAGCTACCAAATGTGTTTATATTTAGGTTGAAGATTGGAAGTCACTTCTTTATACATTTCTTTTCTTTTTATTTCACCTTTTCCCTTTGTTTTTCTTTCTTTTTGTTACATTTTCTTTCCTTGTAATTTTCTTCTCAGTTATTTCACTATAAATAGTTTGTATTAGGTTTTAATTGTAATTGAAATCTTCAATAAGATTTATATAGAGAAAATGAATTTAGGTCATTCAAGTTGGAGCAAATAGAATTTTTTTTATCATTTCTTTGTTCAATTATTAACTTATCTCAATAAGAACACAGATATTTTGATTGAAATTAAGATTTGTATTACCCCAAACATAGATCTATTTGTTTCTTCAACTATTTTTATGTCCTGGCCCTCCAAACTACTCATTAGAATAACAGAATCATATTTTCCTAGAGAAGAATTCCTGGAAATCTCATCCAGCATTCATCCAGTGCAGGAATCTACTGCTATACTATCATACCAGTAGCCAGAAAGCATCTCTCAACCTCTCTGATAAAGGAGACTCCATCATATTCTCAAGCTGTGGTTTGTCAAATAGCTCTTATTATTAATATTTTTTCCTGCTATCCAAATATAATCTACTTCCTTAATGAACTCACTGTTTCTTGACGTGTCTTTGGAACAACTCTGAAAATTCCTTTTGAGAGCCCTTCAGACATTTGAAGATAACTATGTCTCTACACAGAGTACTTTCTTCTAACCATGATTCTTTTTTTCCTTTTTTCTCTCTTCCATTTCTTATTTTCTTGATTGGTTATTTCTCCTCCCCTTTTTAAACTGTTTCTGATGAACTGCAGTGTTTCTGATAAACTGGCTTGGATAGAAGATGTATGGTGATGGTATGTGTTTTATGTGAATATGTGGGAATATAATTTCTGAGTGTGAGAGAAAATGCCCAGAATATACAAATAAAGGGCCCATTATTTCTGCAACAGTACACCTTGTTTTTTATCAATTAATTGTATTCAATTATTAGAAAATAACTGTTACTTATAATTATTCCATTTGATTGTCTTCTATTTGCTCTGATTTCATATGTAATTGCTTGAGATATATATATTATACCTAACATACAACTTTAGCTGTGGAATTACATATCAAAGTCTAGATTAACACTGTATCTCAAAAGCAAATCTGACACACAATTCATATGAAAGTCTGGAGCTGGAAACTATTCGTAGACTATAGTATTTAAAATGTGGTTTCTCTAGGCATATTCTTAAATTCACAAGATATTAAAAGTATTTTTAGCATTATGGATCAACTTTTACAGCCTATATTTTTACTGTATACTGTATTAATGACAATTCTTGACATTGATTCTTAGTTTAGAAGTGAATAGTTATATTTAGCCTATTTATAAGTAATGATGTTTTATTGGAAAACCATAGCTTTCCTGACATTTCTAAATCTTTGATCATTCATTTATATTTGTAAATCTCCCTTGTTATTTGTTTATATACTTTTTCAATGTTCAATAAAATTAGAAAAACAAATCACATATGTGGCACATCATTTATTGAAAAGGGAGTATCTTCAGGACTCAGCTGTAATTTCCAGACTGCTAAGTAGAAAGTTGGTTATTACTGAAAAAAAAAAATTTAATGCCTATTCCAGGTGGTAAAATGGAAAGATATAGCACGAGAGAGTGATTAAAAAATTGCACAAAGAGCTAAGGAACTCAAATTATAATAGAACTCCAGCTATGGAAAGCTTATTGGGTAATTTTTAGGCCAGTCACTTTCTTCATACTCTAATTTACTTCACCAGAATATTTTGATGACAAATCTGTGCCTGCAAAAAAAGTGGGATATAAATATAACATATATAATAAGAGCACTTTTTAAAAGACCATCTTGAATTCAGGATCATTTTTCTTTCAAAAGACCAAACCTTTTAGAATTTTTTGAAATGCTACAGATGGCCATTATTATAAAATGATTCTTCTTTTTTTAATGTAAACTAATTTATTGTTCAATCAGACACAATATTGCATGACACAATGTTTTTCTTGTGCTATGAAATATATTGATTAGTGTGAACAATAATTAACTGAATATATGGACCTGGGAGGACTATTTTGTGAATAGCCAAGATAGGTTACTTAGTAGCAACCGTGCATTGGAAGTCTCACCTGATTTACCTCCCTTCAGTCTGCCTACCATTGTCTCTCATGTTTCACAGAGGCTTCTAGGCCTCAGACCAATTTTGCAAGAAATATAAAAGTTGTACGGGAAGAAGAAGTTAAAATTATCTTCTTCATCCAGAGTCATTAAGAATTATTCTCAATTCAAACTGAAGTTTAAATTTTGTACTTAAAAAGATAGGAATGGATAAACTTCAGAGTTGTTCAAATATCTTACTGGACTTTTTTAACATGACACAGAAGTGACAAAAATTGTTGCATTAACATGTCATTACTTATGATGATTAATTCACTTTTAAAGCATATAATGGATACTTAGAAATCAAAATCAATCAAATTAAAAATTCACAAAACAAAAAGTGGCTCACTGATTTAAAAGCTGCAGTAAGTGTGTGCAAAACATTACTTTTATTTAGATTTTCATTAATTGCTCATATTAAAGGTGACTACTCCAGTCTTTGTCCAAGAAGTACAGTAAAAAAATTTTTATTCTCATTACAAGAAGTTAGACTTTAAAAAAAAATAAACCTAAAAAGTCACAGTGAAACACACACAAAATTGTTCATATTAATACAAATAATATATTTGGATTTTAATAATAAAAATAGTTAATTTACTTTAAACTAGTAACATTTAACACCATCAACAATAAAATATTGCTTTGAAAATATAGAAGTTTGGAAAATAAAAATATAGTGGGATGAATTAAGTGGTTTATCAGCATATCTGCTTTTCTCTGTCTCCCTCTCTCTCTCTCATCTATCTGAAAGTTGTATTTAAAAAAAAGGCAGGAAAAGCATGGATTTTTCCCCACCTTTTATTTTCACAAGTTTGTGTACATGTTTGTGTATGTGCATATATGTGTACTAGAGATTGGTACATACATATTGTCTCTGTGTATGTAGGGGTCTAATCAGGGCAGCTACGTACGTGTTGCAGTTTTAGCATGTTTCTGCTCTCCCTTGTATTGTGTCTAGATATTTTTATAAGGCAATATATACTGCGGAACACAAGTGATATTACATATATTCCACTATGAATCCTGTGACCCAAAGTATAGAGGAAAACCTAGAATGGAACAGTTGGCAGCATTTGAAGCTGCTGCTTAGCATAGATTCAGGGGAATATTTTAACATATTTTTTTTCTATTTTTCTGAGCTGGATTATCTTGATCCATCTGCAGTCTTCCCTCCACACCAAATTTGGTCTCATTCCACTTTGTTTTCTCAGAGATATATTGCTGATAGACAGATGGTCAGACAAGGCCTTGAGCCATTCTATGTAAATATTTTCCAAATTTCTTTGCTTTAGAAATGGTAAAAAATACCAGTGGTGTTTGACAAACTCTTTAAATATCCTTGTAGAGAACCATATTCAAAGAAAACATTCAGTAGATTTAAGCTACGCTACGATTGACATCATAATCTAATTCTTACACATAGAAGTGGCCAGAGACTGAAGAGAAATTTGATTCACCTTTTAATAATATGAAAACTTGTCTATGTCACATTTTCTAAACCAATTTGTACATTAATATAGATATGCAATTTTGCAAATGTGGTTTCCACACAACAAATACTGGACAACAGGTTGTCTGAAATGGTATAGGGTTTACTGCCTGAGAAGAGGTTGGACTAGAAGACCTTCAAGGTCCCTTCCAACTCTGTTATTCTGTTAAATATGATTCTGCTATAGGGGGGCATGTCACATGATTCATATTGCTGAAAGAAAGATCTGTTACACTTTAAAGATAATCCATGTAAAAAAAACCAGATTCACCAGGAATGCCTGAAAGTCTACTTTATTAATTCAGACTATAGTAACATAATCTTGAAAGCCTGATAATGCTTTCATCTCCTCCTTTAAGTTTTGTTTCCCCCCCCCCCATCCCAGCCCTTCCCCCATCTCTTCCTCTTCTGGGATTAACCTGAATTCTGCCACACATGAAATTAACTTTTATGACATTGTCTATTTCATTTACTTCAAGGTACATTGTTTAATGGACTTGGACTTGGTGCAGTCATTGGACTGGGTGTAGCTGCTCTTCTGCTAATACTTGTTGTGACTGATGTCAGCTGCTTCTTTGTACGGCAGTGTGGATTGCTAATGTGCATCACTAGAAGGATCTGTGGGAAAAAGAGCGGGTCCAGTGGGAAGAGTAAAGAGCTGGAAGAAGGAAAAGCAGCATATTTGTGAGTATTGGTCACAATACTTTGAGAAAAATAATATATACTGGTTACTTGCAAATAGCATACAAACTGTTGTATTCCATGAGCCTTAAGGATTGTGATTCAACAAAGTTCTCTAGCTTTTACTTAATGTTGTTTACTACCTATAGCTCTAATAAAATATTGTGACACATACAGTTTGAGAATCATTCATATGTGACCTTAACAAAAATCATATTTGTATTTTTATTCTATTCAGTCAAAACTCCACAAACGTACACAGTAGGACATCTGAGTTCTCTGGACTGCAGTTGCACATAATACGTTGATACTGAGATATGTATCAGTAATATTTCAAATCTTGTTTGTATTATCACAATTTTAAAAAGATCATTGAACCATGATTTCTGCCTTAAGCATTCATTGTGTAGATGATGCAGGGATGTTTATAGAATATATTTTCTATCATTTTGGGCACCAAAGCTTGGTATTTTGATACAATCCAGATCAGAGAGGAAATGAATCAATACGCTATATGCCATTTTTTCTTGCTCATTTTCTCTTTAATAAAATTTAATGTTTAAGAGTTGGAATCCAGCTAATGTTAGTTAATTTTTTAAAAAAATCTGCAGCTGCTTTTTTTGCAAGGCATTCAAATTTCTTCTATATACAAACAAAATTTTAAAAATGTGGGGATGCAGAATTTGTGTAAGTAGTAATACTAAATGAACAAGAAGTGTTGAAATTTTTGATTGGCAGATTTGCTAAAGATTACTGAAGTAGAAATATCTTGTGGTAGGATAACTCTTTAAACAGTTCAGGACTAGACTTGATGTGGAAAAAAATGCACAAATGAACAACATTGGATAAAAGTTTTAAAAAAATATAGTGAGTTACTGGCTTTCAGACTTTAACAAAATGAAACAATATATTATTTGACCAATTATTCTGATATATTTGTACATATTCCAGATCAGTTTGGAAAACAAATCACTTCTAAACTGTATAGTTTTAATTCTGTATCAACCGATAATTTCATGTATGTTCTATATATGCTAGGTATGCACCTGCATAACGAAACCCACACAAATGATGTAAGGGTAGTCCTTAACTTACAACCAGAAGTGGGACAATATTTTGGTTGCTAAGCAATGCAATCATTAAGCAAATCATCATATGTCAAAGCTGATTTTACAAGGATTTTTACTGCACTCATTAAGTGAATCACGTGGTCTTAAGTGAATCACAGTCATTCAGCGAATCTGACTTGTCCTATTGATTTTGCTTGTTGGAAGCCAGCTGGGAAGGTCATAGATCACAATTGTGTGATTGGTTATTAATTTTACTTTACATCTTTTCCTTCAACAAGTTGTCACTATTATGAAATCTGGAGAAAATCTCTATCCTGCTTGACAGCAATTGTTAGAAGAAGTGCATATGTTATTTAAAAAGCTCATATTATCTGTCCTATTTTATTAGAGGCTTAGAGATTTCTTTTCAAAGAAATCATTCTCTTTTGTGATGAAGCTAACATTATGGTTTTTCTTAAAGAAGACAAGGGATTTCATTATAAGTTCGAATTATAGATATATATATTTGATAAATTTGGATGCTAGGACCATGATAGCTACTTCTTCAAAAGTTATGGGATTTTTTTTTTAAATTAGAAAGAAAGGAATGTTTATGACAAGTGATGTTCTTGCTTTAACTTAAAAGAAGAAGATACTAACAAAGATTTTGTTATGGCTTCTTGAACTTGACTTACTTTGTATTTCTCCAAATTTTAAAGTCTTGATTTGATATGATATATTAAAGATTAATATTGTGGGAAAGGGATCTGTGGGGAGGACTTAACTTTCTTTAAACTTGTTGACAGACTACTCAACATTTGTTTTCTGGATTATTTGAACAAAATGCTTTTGCCACTTTTGAAATCTATAGTGATTAGAATAATTAATTATGATTCATGTTTTCTTGATAAGAAGTTCAAGATTAATTAAACTGCTTCTTTAAACAGTTTTTAATAGAAATTAGTTCCTTCTGATCTTAAAATACAATATAATAGAAGAATAAAAAATAAAATTTGTATATATTGGGTGCTTCAGAGAATGTTTAATGAGGCCTAATTAAAATATTTTTACTGTTGGAGAAACATTCAGAAATTAGAATATTGAAACATATAGCTTGGCTTTGTCATATTCTTTTCTCATCATAGTTGACATCAGGAAGGCTGTCAGTATAATTCTGGCTCAAATACTCCATGTTGAAGTTGTATGTGCATATGTGCATATTCTTGTTTATATCCTGAATATTTGGAATATATCAAGAACTGTGAACTTTTCAGACATAGAATTTGGTTAAAAGTACTATATTAAAACACTGGAAGGAAAAGATATGAAGCATACATTGTTTGCTTTTATTATTGTCAGCATTTGAATTAGTTTTCTCTACTCCCACAAAGGCAAATAGAAAGCTTGCAAGCAATATAGAGAGGGTTTTTTCCCCCCCAATATGATGTACCAAGGTCTCTTTTCAGTTTTCTTTTATTATTATTAATTTATAATCATCAACATTTGAAGTTATATTACTTAACAGCATTGCTATCTTTTTTAAAAAAAAATTATAATAGCATAATGAATTTATTCTATTAAAAGGTTGATTTATTTGAGGAGGAGCCATAGCTCAATAGCACACCAGTCCTTCATTATAGGAGGATAGAAATATTGTTATGTTATGTTGTGTTGTGTTGTGTTGTGTTGTGTTATGTTATGTTATGTTATGTTATGTTATGTTATGTTATGTTATGTTATTTACTAAATTTATCCGTTGTCCATTTCACTGTTGAATGACTCGAGGAGGCATATACAATATAAGTATGTTATTTCCATTTCGAACAAGGAAGTAATCTTTTCTGAAACTTATTGTTATGCCGAACAATCTGTATTTTTAAAATAAATATAGCACAAAGTATATTAATATTCAGTCTTAATATTTATTTCAACCTGTGTGCTTGAAATAGGCTTTGGACAAAGTAGAAACAAAGCCTGGAATAATAGTAAAATGTTTTGTCACAGTTAATTACTGATTTGGTAATTTATAAACTGAGTATCACTCAGCTGGATTGATGCAATGTGTTCTATAGGGCAGTCTTTGAAGATATGCAGAATGAATAACTGGTCTAGTAGAACAATTTCATCACTGCAAGCTACAGGAATACCTCACCTAAAGTCATTGTATTGTTTACCAATAAGCTTTTAGCCAATTCAGATGCTGGCAATGATCTAGAGTATAAAGCGTAAAATGATATAAGAATGAATCTCATCAAATATCACTTTTTCCAGAACTGAATCCAGGGAGAACATCTCAAGAAAGCTATTGAAAGTCTTTTCTCTATCTGAAATGAAGCAAACAGACATGATATAATAGATTTTTCTTTTGCACACTTTAGAGCTCTTTTTCTCCAGAACTCCATAAAGCTGTTTCCTCAGTTGCCTTTCATGATAGTTAAGTTCAGCTTTATTTAATAGATTGGGTGATTGAAAATGTGTCATCAAGTCAGTGTTGACTCTTAATGACAACTCTGATGATTTGTCCATAATATGGTCCTTAGGTCTTCCAACAGTATACCCATCACCAGTATAACTGAGTTTATCTATTTTGGCTGTTGATCGTACTCTTCTTTTTCCCTCCTCCTTTAGAGCTTTCTCCAGGGAGTTTTGTTGTCACACCATGTGCCCGAAGTCTGATAATATGAGCTTAGTCATTTGTACCTCGAGTAAGAACTCTGAGTTGATTTGTTTGAAGATGATGATTGACAATATAGTGATAAATGATAGGCCTCTTTAATACAGCTATTTTTTACTAAAATTCATCTCATGGAAAGGTTGTTTTATTATTACAAATAATATAGATTAAAAAATAGATAATATAGATATTTGATTTATTTCTATTGTTGATACTATAATTTTAACTTCTTTTAACTCATCCAATATCTTTTCAGTTGGACAAGATATAAAAGTGATGCAAAGACAAAAATATGTACATGTTAATATAACTTTGAAAAGATTGCTTGGAGGTAATAGCTGTTTCTTCTCTTAGGCTACTACTTAAGCCTGGAAAAGTATTGCTTTAATGTGCAAATTGATTAAAATAGCCATGACTTTCATAGGACTGATGAAAGCAGTTAACTTATTTTTTTTCCAGATTTGTGGAAAAAAGTGGAAAAAGGGACATAGCTTTTCATATAAAAAATGCATTGTATTTACTCTTCTGCATATTCTGAAATATCCCTTCTGGAAATTTTAGTATCTGATTAATTTGTATGATTAATAATATTTTGATACATCAGCAAGGATTCTGGTGGCATTTGGAGAATTAATAAATATATCTTAGCATACATGGAATAGGGTAATAAATATTCACCATTTTTAAATTAAAAAATAGTGCATAAAGTATTTTTACTTTTATTTTTACTTAGGAAAGATGGATCAAAAGAACCAATAGTTGAAATGAGAACAGAGGATGAAAGAATTACCAGTCACGAAGATGGAAGCCCAGTAAATGAGCCCAATGAAACAACACCATTAACAGAACCAGAGTATGTATTTTGATATTATTTAGTAATTTTACATTTAGGATTAATGAAGTTTCAGTGTGGCCTTGCCTTTAGGTTAAAAAAAAAAGGTTTTAGATCTACAGATTTCAAATAATATATAACCATTTCTCAAAGGCCCTGTATCTATTAAATTAACTCGTGGTTACTAATAGGGTGACAAGACTCAAATTAATGTATTTCATTTTAATCTATCACTAAGTGTCAAATCAATTTGAAATCCATGTTGTAAACTTTAAATATAATCTATAAATATATGTCACTGGTTTAATCTATTAGAAAAGAGTTATTTTAAGTCATATAAAACTGCATTATATCATATTTGAATGCCATAATCTAGAAGGTTTTTTTTTTAAAAAAATATTATTATTATTATTATATAAACAACAAAGATGCATGTCTGTAAATAGGGTTAAATGTGCACTTTCTAAATAAAGTACATTTATTTATGTAAGACCATTCACATAATTAGCAATTGTTAATAGTTATGAAAGTGTAAATAATAGGCATGGAATACACCTTCAAGTCTGGATGGAAGGGAAGGACAAAAGTGGTATTAATTTTGGATGGAACAATTGAATAGGTTTGTTTAATTTTTGTAACTTTGTTTTATCATAGTAAAGCTTTGACTCAAGTATATTTATTTGAATATACATAATTATATAATGAATATATTGAGAAAAGAGAGGACAAGATTCTGCCTAGAAAATATATAAACATATTTGTTCAATATATACAAGCATATTTGTTCAATCACATTCTTATTCAGTTGCCAAGAATGAATACTAGGGAGATTAGCAAATATTAGTACCTTGAGTTTTGCATAATTAAATTATACAAATTATATAGTTACTAAATTATACAATTAAAGTTCATAAAGTTTTTTTTAAAAGCATTTGGGGTCTAAGATGACAACAGAGCATTATATGCATATAGGAGGATTTAAAAGTATCCATCCTTCAATTCTGAGAGATGATAAACTAGATTGGCCACCAGAGAATTGGCTAACTCTTTTCCAACAAACTCTTTTGCTTAGTGTAATATTCCCTCTAGTGCACTAGAGTTTTACACTAGAGTTCTCACTGAGTTTAGGATAAACAGCTGACTAACTCTGCCAGAGTTCTTAGATTTATACTATAATTTGTGTCTAAGGACAAGGTCAAAACTTAATCTGAAGTTAATAAAAGATGCATAAGGTACAGATCTTGGCCTAAAAGTATATTTTTAACTATCTGTAGATATTAGAAAATAAAGAGCCTGATCTAATATTGAATATATACAGGGAATATACAGTATGTGACAAGTGGAGCAGTGTAATCAATAAAAAATATGTTGCCAAATGAAATATGCATTCTCTATCAACACTAGTTTCTAACTGTAATGCCTTTTGTTTTATATTTATCTTAGGAAATTACCATTAAAGGAAGAAAATGGAAAAGAAGTTTTAAGTTCAGATACTATAGAGATCAAAGTATCCAATGATATCATCCAGTCAAAAGAAGATGATAGCAAAGCATAAAACAACAACAGTTATCTAGAGGGGCAAAAAGGCATGTGGATTCTAATAAATCTGTGACCAAAACTTTACATTTGACCTTGGTTTTTTGGCAATTTAAGAATAATTAATGGAAGTAGTTTGGTCTACTTCTGTTGACTGTCTATTTTCATTTTGATTCAATAGTTTTAGTCTGTAGTCCTGGGCAACATCAGTACCATGGTCTCAGTTAAGCAAGTCAACCAATATAAATACTGTAATTTATTTTATTGCTGAAGAAATTGAAATTATTTATCAAATATTATGATACCCTCTTAGTCACAGACTCTGCATAAGATAGCTGTACTACTTTTAATGGAATTTAACTCATGAGAGAAAGTGCCATAGAAATTTATATTTGTTTGCAATTTTAAAGATTTTGTTGCCTTTATATAAATATATATAAATGTCAGATATAAACTAGGTTTATGTGGCTGGATGATTGCAGCTAACCCTTTACATAAGAGTAGATTGAATGTTTTCAGGGTATTAGCCTTGTACTTCAAATCAATTCTTAAAGAGAATGAACCATTCATAGGTTTGATGTACAGATTTTAACCAAGTTGTGAACTATTTTGATGAAAATATTGAACATATCCTAACTTCAAAGTCCACAGAAATTTCAGTGCTTCAGATATTTTGTATTTATGTTTGAAAAATTGTGTGTAAGCTAAAAATGTCAAAACTTATTTTGTGTAAAAAAAAAAAAAGCCAAGAATCCTGACTATGACCATAGCTCTCAGCTTCAAAGAACTCTTATAACAATAAATGCAAGCTCAACTGAGTTACCTCAGTTGTGGTTATAAAACATAATATTGTGCAGACTTTCTTTTCATTCATTTAGAAAAAAAGAATCACTTTTATTAAAACATATAAATACTGCCAAAGCACATTGCCAGAAAGCTACTTGGCCCTTTTCCATACCGCCATATTGAGCAGGTTTTCTTTTAATCTCAATCTAAAAGATGTTTAGCATGCAAGAGGACATAATGTGCAAGAAAGAAAGGATAAAATCTTTCTTACAGGTGTGTAACCAATTACTTACATTCACTCCAGACCTATGTATGCAATATAAATAATGAGACATTTTATATTTTTGCTCCTTTGTTTTAGCTTGTGATAATAACAATAAATACTACATACTTGAATAGCTACCAGGAACATCTATATTTCACTATTATGAAAACAAATAATAAATATGTTCTTCCTAATTCACAGATACCAAATATATTTAGTTGTTCACTCTTTGACTTAATAGTAATGTTATCTTAGCCATTAAAAAACCACTTCTGAAAAAACTGAGGATGCAGAAATTGAGATCAAGTCACAAGCAAAAACACGTGCTCTTGGAAAGGTGGGCTGGCTTTTCAGTCCACTTAGATTCTTGATCAGAAGAGCAAAATGGAATATATATATATTATTTTTCTTTCAATATATCTGATATTTATTAAACTATCACAGTATTTTTTTTATTTGGATATTTATTGAAAGCTGATTATGGGAATATATGTGTGCTGTTCTCTATCAGTTCTTATTCCACTATGATCTATCTATCTGGGATGAAACTGAAAATGTCCAGTTCGTTACACTGAAATAATACATGAAGTACAGCCCAGAATCCAGATGACTATTTCACTATTATTTAAATATAGACATATTTTTATAATGTCTCTAGTCTCTGAGGAAATTAACATTATAATTTCTCATTCATGTAATATTATTTAAAATATAATAAAATAAATTATTAAATAATTAAAATAAAATTATTTTAATCCCCCAACTTCATGAATTCATGAAATTCCCTGACATACATATAAGATACAACTAGAATAACAGTAATGTTTGAATTTGGTGTCATGTTATTAGGAAAGCTCATTTGCTGCATAGGTACAATAATTTGATATCAAACTGGACTAAGCAACAAATACAAGTACAACAATGTAAATGCAAAATATATAACCAAGAATAGTGTTACAATAATATTGTAAGAGAAGAATATTTTCAGACCTGAGACAACACTTGCTATTTTGCTTTTATTTTCAGTGGAAAATTACCCATAGACTCCTAAATAAATAAATATGACTTAGAAATACATTTATAAGAAATATTAATTAGTAGATATCCCTAATTTGAATGTACTTACAAGTAATTGTAACTGTTTTTAAAATATAAACAGCTTAGTTCCACAAACCTATTAATTTTTTAAGCGAACTGAGCAAATATATAAAGTATCAGTACCACAAAGAAAATATTCTGAATGGAGTCATTCATTCAGTCAACCAATCATTTCATTTATATAGCTACCCGTCTTACTCTTATGTGACTGTGGTGCTTACAATAAAATAAACAAAATACATAAACTAGACAATACAGAAAATAAAACTAAAACATATGGCAGCCAAGCATTATCCATACAATCATCCAGGGTATAAGCTCCATCCCACATTCAGGGGCCTAGGCTTTGGCACAAAACCAAGTTTTCAAGGCCTTATGAAGGCCAAAAGGCACAAGACCAATCTAATTATGAGAATGGTGAAGTTCCAAAGAGCAGATGCCAGGGCAGAAAAGGGTCTCCTTCTCACCACCCAATAATTCTTAATTAACGGTACATGGAGCCCTCCTGCTGGATTGTTCCTTCTGCCAGATTGGATAAAAGGGGATATTGGAGAGATATACCCCAATAGGTTACCAGTAAGTAACCCAATCCAAAGCCATAAATGGCTCTAAAGGTAATAATCAGCATGTTCAATTGCACTCAGAAGCACATTGAAATCTACAGCTCATGAAGCAATGATGTTACATGTACCAACTTACTGGGACCAGTAACTGTTCACACTGTCATATTTTGCACCAGTTGAAGCTTCTGAATACTCTTCACAGGTGGCCCCATGTAAAACTCTTTGCAATAGTCCAATTTGGAGGGCACAAGAGCATGAGTGACCATGATCAGTCCCTCCTCCCCAGATTATCCAATTGTGTCTGTTGAGTAGATAGCAAAGGAAATTCTTCCTTTGAAATTTGGGATACAGGGTTGTATATTACTGTCTGCATGGATTCTTACTGATTTGAATCTTCATATAGGAGTGGCCAGGTGAAATGTTCAGCTTTTGCTTTCAGCCATATAATTAATACAAATCATGGTGGTCAGTTTAGCATACTTTTAAA